CTCTCTGATTGAGTGGCGAATCACCAATTAAATTTTAGCTATTTATAAATATCTTCAATTTTTTAAAATTTTATTAACTAAATTATTAGTTGTAGATACATTTTGTTTGTCTTTTAGGCAAATGCCAGGTTTTCATCCAGATTCACCATGTAAAAATAGCAAGAAATAATACAGTGAGCTATAGCTTTAATGAATTTTAGAGATATATTGCAATCTACTATCTTGTTTATATAATACAATATCTTGATTCAATAGTTCAACTTCTTGGCCATTTTTGACGATAAGAACAGCAACTTCTGATATGGTAATAACAATCTTTAAATCTTGTAACAGATTTTTTTTTAAAATTTGAGCTATATTTTGAAAAGTATTAATATAAGAATTAACTTTATATAGCATTGTTTAAAGCTGTGCTAGTGTAGTAGAATCGAGATTTGGCATTAATTATTGTCTTTGTTGTAACTGCTTATCTGTATCATATATATAAATTTGTAAACAGAATGGTATATTTTGATTTGCAGGCAAAAAAGAGCCAATACGATGATAAAGTTCGCCCTGAATATGAAAACTATATATTTCTTGTGTTCCTGTAACACATTTATCGATTTTGGCACCTAAGGAGGTGAATGCAAGTACGGAGTTGTACATATATATCTTTTTTCGAAAATCACAAGCTTGAGCATTTTCCTCAATTAGAAGAGTACACAACAGTGGCAGTGGTGAAAAAATAGCAAGCAGTTGTATCTGACCTTTTGTGCAACAGGTGCTAAAAATTGGCACTCATTTAGATCTAGCTACTTTCTTATCTATCCAGTGCAAAGCATTGCATTCTGGACATTCAACATTTATAAGTCCTTCGGAATGTGAAATTACAGCAGTTGTATCATAGTTATCAATGCACGCTAAATTGGAGGTATGTTTATTAGCCTCATTTTGTTTTTCTTGCATAATTCAGTTTGCTTATTGTTTCTTCTGCATGACGACGTGTATATGCTTGTCTTTGAGTATTATGATGATGTTCAGCTTCTTCAGAATTTTTATTTTCGTGATGCTGGGCATATGCTTGTTTTTAAGCACTTCGACAATATTCTGCTTCTTCAGAAGTTTCATTTTCACACCACCGTGTATATGCTTGTCTTTGAGCACTTCGGCACTGCTCAGATTTTTTATTAGTTTCATTTGCTGCACGGCGAGCATGGGCTTCTCTTGCAAGTTGGTTTTTTTGTTCACAAGGGCTTTCAGAAGACTCAGCAGCAGACATTTCTTCAAGTGTATGTGACATTCATTTGGCATATCTTTCACGTTCTAGACAGTTTTTAATATCATGAAGAGGTTCGCATGTAAAATGTGAATTTGAGTCCATTTTTTTAAAAACTGTGTACGAAATGAAAAGTAACTATGACAAAAAATTGTTTTTTTGAAAG